GCAATCTTTGACAGTGCTGATCATTTTTGACTTTTTGAGTAAGATAATAAGAGATTGAGTTAATCTCTTGTTCAGCAATCGAGAAGTTTCATGTAGTTACTACTCATAAAATTTTTTGATTTTTATGGAAGTTGAGGTATTTAACCTTTCTCCCCCATTCCATGTGGGCACGACAGATTCAACTCAAGAATGTCAGCACCCGCAGCTTCGCTCTGTGTAGCAAGATCTACCCAATCTTCCTAAAAAAATTAGACTTTTACTGCTCCAATTTACCATTTCGCCACCCACCTTGTTGAATGTGCACATAATGGAGGCTACTACGATTTTGGTTGGAAAGTCTTGTTTCAACTCTCTGATGCATTGTAACCAGTATGCAGCCGATTTTTCAGAGATCAGTTCGATGTTCAGGAAGGATCCCTATTTACATGTTTTACACTTATGTTCCAAAAACGAAAAAGGAGGAAAAAGGAAGCACGTTTGTCTCTACCTGATTAGGGCCAAAGATTGGTCCTGAAGTAGATCCTCTGACAATTCGTGGAGAAACATTTGTGACCAGATCCTATAAGATGCTGTTTTATCGATATCCGGAGCCGTTAAACATACTACTTGGTTAGATTAAAATAGGGCACTTTTCCCTTCTATTAGATGAATATGATTCAACAGGAGGCGAACCTTATCGAGACCAAACGTTTTCGTCAACACAAATGCCCAGCCTTGCTCAAAGGCTCGTCGACACATGGGGCCTGAAGTTGTTGGTGGAGCTGAAGCCAGTCCAAATGGATTCTCAAATTTCACACCGCACATCTCCACTGATATATCTACCTGAACAGTTGATTTTCAGAGAAGTACGTTTCTCTCACGCAATCTACGGTACCTCATCTATCGGCGTGTAGAACATTGGTAGCTTTGGTGTGCTGCCGACATCATTTCCATGCAATGACTGTATGTATTTGTGAATTGACCATGCTGCTATCTAGAAAAAAAAATTCAAGGGCAGGAACTGAGGGATTCCGAATGCTTTATATCAGTGAGCGGGGAGAGGAGGTGGAAGAGAGCGGAAGGAAGGGGGGAGGGAGGGAAGGGGTCTTTTGCGGAATGGGAATAAAAATGAGTCAAATATGATTGAATCCAAAAA